GTTGAAATATGTAACCTCCCAAGAGCAAATCGTCGACATTCTCAGTAAACCACTCAAGCATGACATGTTCCGCAAGTTAAGAACTCTACTTGAAGTAGTAAAATCAAGTTTAAGGGGGAATGTTGAGTAGTAAACTTGATTTTTGGACTAAAAAATATGGGTTTAAGGACTTTGCCCATAGGCCCTAAATAAATTAAAAGTCCTAACATGCCTAGCATTTCTAGAAACATTATCTAGAAAAATCTATATAAATATTTACTAGAAAAACCAATTTAAAAATCTAAGTAAAATATGTGGTGATAAATGTGGTAATATGTCAAGAAGAATATGTGATCTTATAAAGTCTATCTAGAGTATTCCAAGAAAGTATCTTGTCCAAATAAGTGGTCAAAAAGTCTCATATAAATATGTGGTCTAGGAGTCTCTAGAAAAATACGTGGACTAGAAGTTTCATGTAAATACTATATAAAGGGGTAGTGTCCTCCATTTTGTAACAAGCCAAAAAAGTGTGTAAAGTCTTGAAGTTGAGAAATACAAGTTTCCTTTTGTTCACTCCCTTCTTCCTATTAGTGTTGTTCTTCTTAAAAGTCATAGCAAATCCAAGTTAGTAAATCCCTCTTCCCTCCAACAAAATTGGGTATCCATTCCTGAGATTATTAGCTTGTTTTCTGAGGATCAGAACTTGAATTATTATTTATATTTTGTTTTGTTTTGTACGGTCTAAAATCAGTCACCAACTAAAAATAAATTTGACTTTCAGAATAAAAAAACTCTTTTAAAAATTAGTTTTTTAATAAAAATAAAGGTAACTAGAGTTGGGCACAAAAATTGAAACTCAAAAACCCGGCCTGATTTGGGTTGTTTGAAGATGAATTCGGGTCAGTTCTGGTGATTATGTATTTCAAAATAATTCGATTTTTGTCGATTCAAGATCCAAGTTGTGGTTCCACCCGAACCAACTTGATCCACAAACAAACCTAAAACTGGAATGCTCACATACTAAATTTGAAGCCCAAAGTCGTCTCGTCCTTTCACCTTCGTTATTGTGATGCCAAAAAGGATAGAGATTATCCTGTAGGCTAGCTGCAACAGATGTGGTATGTGCTAATTTTTTTGTGAAATTTTGTGATTTGTGCTAATTTTGTTCTCACTAAAAACTCAAAATTTTGGGTTAAACACTTGTTTTTGTGCTTGTTTATATTGTTTGATAGTTTTGCCAATTGCATTTTACGTTGCATTGATTTATGAATTGGGAACGTGAATGTTAAGTATTGTTTATTTTCATCAACTTATTCCATGATTGACTCTTTATTGAGCACTTGGGTCATGAGATTAATCACATGCACTTGTTGGTTGCATTTGTAGGTTGTTAAGCAAACTTAAATGATCATGCTGTTAGAAATTCTTTAATCACTCTACCAATAAAAGGATAAGTTAGGGGGGTTGAACCGGTGAAAGAAATTATTTAGAATTGTATTAATTTCCGACTCAGTGATTGATTTTGTGGAGTGTTCTTAGGCTTCAAATGAAAGTTAGATGTTTTCCATCTATTGATATTTCATAATCTCAAAAAAATAAAAATAATAAAATAAAATAAAATCTGTTGGAAAAAGTTGCCTACCCTAAGGAGTATGAGTCAACATTTAGTAATCTGTCCCTATGCATCACCAATGTATAGGAGACGATCTACGAATGAAGAAGGCTACTCTTAGAGACTAGAGCGAAAACTACCTACATTGGAAAAATGAAGAAAAAGGAAATGGATGCTATAAGCATCTAGGGGTGATTTTGTTGAAGAATTGATGGATTATGAGTAATTTGTCTAACAAATTTTGTGGTCTAAGGGTACTTAAAATTTTTGGCGAATTAATACATGACTAGATGATCGGTTCAACCCAACCAAATTTGAGAGGGAAAGATTGAGTGATTTGAGAGCAACCTTAAGTTTTTAACACCTTGGGATAGAGTGAAAATATCAAGTTTGGAGGAATGTGCATCCCACGGGGAGTTTAATCCATTGTATTAATTGTTTATTTTGAAAAAACTCAATCATTTAGTTGTATACCTAAACAATTGAGAAGAACAAAATTAACAATTAATACAATGGATTAAACAGAGTAATCAAGAGAACTATGAAACACAAATTAATTAAAAATCATAACTCGGGTTTGAAATAATCCCCAATCACAAATATATTTAGTTATCCATGAAATATCCACAAATAACCAACAAATTCTTACAACCCATTAATGGAAAATAAATTAGAGAAAAGAAGAGCTTATTGATAATGAGAGTAATGATTGAGAAATGGGTTTCCTCTTCCACGCTATTTCACCATCTCCAAACTCTAATCTTCCCCAAAATATCTAAGCATATCAAGTGCAAGATTAAAGAAAAATAAAAATAAAAGAAAAGCAAGAAAACCAAGAAAATCGGCTACCCCAAAATCTCTAAGAAGAAGTCGGCTGCCTTTTTTCTCCACCGCCTTTTTTTCAAAAGTTAAAGTTTTAATATTATAACCTAACGAAAATTTGCAGCAAAGGTCCCTGGAGTTTAGGAAAAAAATTAATAATACCTGAGTGGTGCCTAGGCGCCACATATTCTGCCCAAACTGGGCAGAATTTGGGCGCTGCGGTGCCCATCTTTCTGATCAAAAATAATAAATTTTTTTTGACAACCAGTTGTGTCTTTGGTCGTCTTCTTCGATTTCCTTCATCTTTAGCTCGTTTCTTGCATAAATTCCTTCTAATCATCGTTTGAAGTCGTGTTTTCACCTACACAATAAAAATAACTAAATTAGGTAATAAATCGCTGATGAAACTCACAAATATTTAAGTTTAGTGGTTCAAATACGTACCAAAAACCCGCACTTATCACACCCCAAACTTAAATCTTTGTTAGTCCTCGAACTAGTTTGTGGATGGTAAGGTGTAGCCACTTTATGGGTGATGTTATATATTTTTAGTAAGGACCAAAAGGAGCGGTTGAAAAAATGTAGTCCTCCATCACTAATAATAGCTCTTACTGTTCCAAACCTTGCAAAAATGTTGGATTTAACAAAATCTACTCTTTGACATCGATCACAAGATTTGCAAAAGAGGAATGCATCTTTGAATAGAGTAGGCCAATATAATCTACTTTCAAGCACCTCGAGAGCAGTCTTCTTTGCTCCAAAATGTCCATCACATGCATAGGAGTGACAAAAGGTAAGTATTGAATGAAATTCATTTTCATACATGCACTTTCTTATCAATTGAACTGGACAATGTTTCCACAAGTACAGCTCATCCCATACAAAATACTTGGCCATCACCTTGAGTTTTTGCCTTTGAGCATCGGGTCAAGTCACTTGGAATTTTCTTAGTGACTAAATAGTTCACTATATCCGCAAACCAATGAGATATGCCCATGATGAGAAGCAATTGTACATCGAGGAAGCTTTCTTGCAATGGGAGAGTTTCTCTCTCATGGATAAGGCATTGAGGTGGTCGGCCACAAAATTTTCACTCCCCTTTTTGTCTTTAATCTCAAGCTCAAACTCTTGTAAAAGGAGTATCCATCTAATGAGCTTTGGTTTTGCCTCTTTCTTGGCAAGCAAGTACCTAAGAGCTGCATGATCAGAAAAGACTACTTTAATGCCAATAAGATATGAAAGAAATTTCTCTAAGATAAAAATAACTGCTAAACGCTCTTTTTCAATAGTAGAGTAATTGAGTTGGGCATCATTCAAAGTTCTTGACGTATACTATATAACATGAGGTGTCTTTCCAACTCGTTGCCATAAAATGGGTCCCAATACAAAGTCACTTGCATCACACATCAACTCAAATGGCTTGCTCCAATCAAGTGGTTGAATGATGGGTGCCGATGTCAAAAGTTCCTTCAAGCTCTCAAATGCCTTTTTACAATCTTCATCAAAATGAAATGGCACCTCCTTTTGCAGCAGCTTGCATAATGGTCTTGCGCATTTGGAAAATCCTTGATAAACCTTCGATAAAATCTTGCATGTCTAAGAAAATAACTAATCTCCCTCACACTTGTTGGAGGAAGTAAAAAGCGAATTAAATCAATTTTAGATTTGTCAACTTCTATTACCTTGGAAGAAATGACATGGTCTAACACTATGCCTTGATCAACCATAAAATGACATTTTCCTAATTAAGTATTAGGCTAGCATCCATACATCTCTTAAGCACAAGTGTGAGATTTTCTAGGTAACTATCAAAGGTATTACCATAAACACTAAAATCATCCATAAAGACCTCAATTATGATTTCAATATAATCGGAGAATATACTTATCATGCATCTTTGAAAGGTTGTAGAGCATTGCAAAGGCCGGAGGGCATGCTCCGTTAAGCAAAGGTGCCAAACGGGCAAGTGAATGTTGTTTTCTTTTGGTCTTCCAGAGCAATCACAATTTGGTTATAACTTGAATAACCATCAAGAAAATAAATAATAAGAATGACATGCTAATCTTTCCAACATTTGATCAATAAGGGTAAAGGAAATTGATCTTTTCGGGTTGCAAAATTAAATTTTCTATAATCAATACAAACCCTCCAACCCATTTGGACACGAGTTGGTACAAGCTCATTCTCTTCATTCATCACCACCATGATTCCGGACTTTTTTGGAACACTTGGTCCGGACTTACCCACTTGCTATCGGAGATGGGAAAGATGACACCAACGTCTAGCAATTTCAAAATTTCTTTCTTCACCATTTCCATCATGGGACGATTCAAGCTACGTTGTGCTTCTCTTGATGGCTTTGCTCCATCTTCGAGCAATATTCGGTGCATGCACATGGAAGGGCTTATCCCCTTGATATTGGCTATTGTCTGACCAATATCTATTTTTTGTTCCTTGAGCACACGGATAAGCCTATCTTCTTGAATTGTTGTGAGATTCTTTGTAATGATCATTGGTAGTGTTTCTTTCTCTCCCAAATATACATACTTCAAATACTCGGGAAGAGGTTTAAGTTCTAACGTGGGGCTTACATCACCGAAGGTAAAAGTTTCTCTTTAGATATTGGAAGAGTAATATAGGAGAGATCATTCCTTGGAGGAATACTTGGCAATGACTCAAGTGATGCCACGGTTTCAACAACATCCTTGCACGCTAATAAATTCTTGCTCAACCTGGTGAGATTGTTAGCATCGAGGCATTTAATCAAAGTGGTATCCAATGCATCTTCATTTGATAATTCAAAAACTTTTTGTACTAATAAATCCATTATGTCAATTGAAAAACAAGCGTGAACGTCACTAGGATACGTCATTGTTTCAAAAATGTTGAAGCGAATAATCTCACCATCAAACTCCATTGTCAATGTACCATCATGTACATCTATCTTTGTACGCCCAGTCCTCATAAATGGTCTTCGCAAGAGCAATGGTGGCGACAAAGATGTTGGTTCATCTTGTATGTCAAGAACATAAAAATCTAATGGAAAAATCAATTGATTTACTTGTACCAAAACATCCTCCAACACACTATTTGGAAATGCATTAGATCTATCAGCAAGTTAAATAATAACACCGATTTCTTTAAGTGATTCCAAATTTAAAGAAGCATAAATAGAATATGGCATGACATTAATAGATGCTCCTAAATCTAGCACTGCTTTTCCAAACCTAGTGTTACCAATAATGCAAGGGATGGTAAAACTTCCTGGATCCTTACGTTTTGGTTGAAGTTTCTTTTGCAAAATCGTCGAAATTTTTTCCCCTACGCTTACACTTCATTACCTTTCAATCTATGCTTGTTAGTGCACAATTCTTTCAGGAACTTCGCATAATGGGGCAGTTGATAAATGGCATCCAAAAGTGGTATGTTCACTTGAACCTTGCGAAAAGTCTCCACTATTTCCTTCTCATGTTCATCCCCTTTGGACTTTGTAGACCTGTCAAGAAATGGAGGGGAGGGAACATAAGTAGGAATAGAACTTTTAGAATCTACCTTAGATCTCGCGGTTGGAGTCGTAGCTTCATCTTTTTCACATGCTAAGTTCTTCTCTTGCATTGACTCCTCAACTTGATCTTTCATTTTCCTTGGTACCTCTTCCAAAATTTTTCCACTTCTAAGTGCCACGACACTAATATTTTTTCTCGGGTTGATTGCTTGAGAAAGAAGTTTTTCCAATCTTTGAGCCTCCAATTTACCCACCGTGTGGCCAATTGACTCATTTGTATCTCCAAATTCTTAATTGAGGTCCTTGTCTCTTGTTGAAATTGTATTGTATAAGAAGTCAAGGACTTAACCATATCCTTAAGAGACATCTCTGAACTTTGAGGTGGAGTTTGTTGACAAAGTTGAAAGTATTGTGGTTACTTTTGATTGAACCCCGAGAGATGATTTAACTGTGATTGTGGAGCTATGAAATGATTTCCTCCATAACTGAGATTAGGATGATCTCTAAATCCAGGATTATATGCATTAGCATATGGATCATATCTCTGTCTCTATTGCATTGGAAATCCCCCAATGGCATTCGCTTGCTCTGAGGCTCTTTCTTGTAGTGTCGGGCATGTCTCAATAGGATATCCCATAATAGAACAAATCCCGCACACTTTTGCTTATTGCATTGTCCCAAGTGCCATTTGTCGTACAAGATATGTAAGATTGGCTAATTTTTGCTCAATTTGAGAGGTTGCTCTTACCCCACTTGCTTGTTTAACCGGTGCCACTTCTCTACTACCAAATTGTTGTGAGTTTGTGGCCATGTTGGCTATCAAATCCTTAGCAACTGCCGGTATTTTATCCATTAAAGCTCCTCCACTGGCTGCATCAATCATACTTCTCTCCATCAGGAGTAATCCTTCATAGAAGTATTGTAGAAGTAATTCCTCATTTATTTGGTGGTTTGGGCAACTAGCACATAGTCTTTTGAATCTCTCCCAATACTCATAAAAATTCTTTCCTTGAGATTGTCGAATGCTACAGATTTGTTTCGTGATGTTTGTAGCCTTTGAAGCTGGGAAATACCTCTCCAAGAATAGCTTTTGCATTTCATTTCACATGGTAATAAGATCGGCTGGCAAATAATTGAGCCATTCGTTAGCAGTGTCTGTAAGAGAAAAAAGAAATGCCCACAATTTTACTTGCTCTTCTGATATGCCCGCAGGTTTCATACTTGAGCAAATCATATGAAACTCCTTCAAATGCTTATTGGGATCTTCTTTGGTGAATCCATGAAATGTGGAAAGTAAAAGAATCATCCCGGACTTTAGTTCAAAACCCACCTCCACTTGAGGGTATTGAATGCATAGAGATTGCTGAACAAAAGTTGGAGCTGCAAGTTCCTTTAAGGTCCGATTTGCATCCACCATTTCGGGCTCTATGTGTTTGGAGTCATTTGAAAATTCAATGCTCAATCACCTTAGATGTCTAGTTGGAGAAATGTCTTCTCCACTTTTCGACATGTCGAATTTTCTTGATCTTAGGTTGTAGTGTGTTGTAGGCTTTTTGCTCATTCACAACCTAAATGACAAAGAAAATAACAAAAATAAATAGAAAATCAACAAAAAGAAAATATTGCAATTAACAAATTGATATAACAATCCCCGACGACACGACACCAAAATTGATACGTTGCAAATCCCGTTCCAATTGTTTTTCCTTATTTAAATGTGTCGTCTTGAGTACTAATATGGCAAGTAAAGGTCATTTCCCGCAGATGATTGATTCAATTAAATTGTGCACAAAAATATAACATTAACAATTAAATACGAAATATATTAAACGGGGGTTTGGTTCTTTTAACTAAGGAAAGCGACATATTCAAAATAGAAAAGACTTGAAATTTGAAATAAACAAAGTAGTTGTCGATAGAATATGAGAAAATGTGATTGGGGGATATTTCGTCACCGCGAGAATGATTTTCATGTCAATTACCATAACGGATTTTTCGTTCTCAAGATTAACAACAATTCGATAATAGATACAAGTTTAATTATCTCATTCTCTTCTTACATGTTAGTCGAATAAAACGAGCTCTTTACTCGACCTTATTCATTAAATAACCTAGAACAAGCTCTCTAGATTTAATTTAACAAACACATTATGACAAAAGAGATGAATTGAATTAAGGGCAAACTTGCAAGCTCGGTTTGCTAACTTAAGTGTTAATTCACATACATTCAATTGAAAATTCTTCATAATCTATCGAAATGTAATTGCTACAAGACTTTAGAATAGATAGCTATTATGAACTACAAATCCCAAAATAGCATTAATTGAAACAACTCAATTATTTAGTTGTACACCTAAACAATCAAGAAGAACAAAATTAACAATTAATATAATGAATTAAACACATTAATCAAGAGAACTATGAAGCACAAATTAACTGAAAATCATAACTTGGGTTTGAAATAATCCTCAATCACAAATATATTTAGTTATCCATGAAATATCCACAAATAACCAACAAATTCTTACAACCCATTAATGAAAAATAAATTAGAGAAAAGAAGAGCTTATTGATAATGAGAGTAATGATTGAGAAATGGGTCTCCTCTTCAACGCTATTTCACCATCTCCAAGCTCTAATCTTCCCCAAAATATCTAAGCAAATCAAGATGCAAGATGAAGGAAAAAGAAAAATAAAAGAAAAGCAAGAGAACCAAGAAAATCGATTGCCCCAAGAAGAAGTCGGCTGCCTTTTTTCTCCTCCGCTTTTTTTTTTCACAGAAGTTAAGGTTTTAATATTATAACCTAAAGGAAATTTGCGGCAAAAGTCCCTAGAATTTAGGAATAAAAATTAATAATACCCTAGTGGAGCCTAGGCGCCGGAACAGTAGTGTTTAGGAACCACATATTTTGCCCAGATTGGGCAGAATCTCGGCGCTGCAACGCCCATCTTTCTGGCAAAAAATAATAATAATTTTTTTTTGAAAATCGGTTGAGTCTTTTGTCATCTTTATTTTCCTTCATCTTTAGCTCTTTTTTATTTTTATTTTTTTGCATAAATTCCTTCTAATTATCGTTCAAAGTCAGGTTTTCACCTATATAATAAAAATAACTAAATTAGGTAATAAATCGATGATGAAACTCACAAATATTTAAGTTTGATGGTTTGAATACATGCCAAAAATCCACACTTATCAAGATGTTTCGCAAGAAAGAATACGAAGAAAACGCCCAAAAATAGAGAGAATTCTCTTAAATTTGATTCAATTTTATTAAACTCCAGAATGACGAAAAATAACCCACAAGCTGGATTTATAGCTGAGAAAATTCGAAATTATCAAAGTTTTATCAAAAATAGCAAAATCTCAATAATCATACCAAAATAAAATACGTAATAAAAGAAGTAACTTGTCAAAAATATGGCTCAAATCGGTTTGTAATTACCTCGAAAACGACAACTGAAATATTACCATAAATGAAAAAATAATAAAAATGGAAATTCGAAAGAGAAAACAACGGATTTTGGCCTCGAAATTGATGCCCACCAAGACGTGCGCTCCGAAAAGAGTTTTCTGAATTAGGGTCATAATTGAGATTTTGATAACTGTAGCCAAAGTTATGGTCAAATTATCAAAAAATGTCAAAATTGGCCCAATTAAGGAGATTATTGCAATCACTTTCTATCTTTGAGCTGATTCTCCATCTCATGGTATCTCAACACCTTCAACGTGCTATCTGATATTTCGGCCTCACTTGAACCGGAACCTCCTGCATCATATTGTCTTGTGCTTTTTTTTGGGTTGATTTCAAACTTTATCTATTTGCAAAGATGCAACTGGAATCGCGAGTATGTTCATCATTGTAATATTTATGGATTAGCAAAGATTTTTATAGGAAATAATAATTATTGTTTATAAATTGTGTTTTTGTACTTTTCCTGAGTATGAAACTATTCCAGATTATCTAGAACCCAAGCAGAGTGCAAAGAGAGAATTAAGGAGCATTGGAGGTCGGTAATCTCATTTAGCATGAAATATTTAAATAGTTTGTGTAGCTTTATGATGAGTTTTTATCATCTGCTGCTCTTGAATGGATTAAGGCATATATTTTTGGAAATCATTTTTGCTAATGAATCAAAACTTTATTATCAGATAAGAGTTTTAATGTTTAGTTTTTGGAAGTGAAATTTGACAGAAGTTTCTCAATTACGAATTCACGTTGCAAGACGTTATATGGTTTTGAATTATATAATTAATAGTGAGAAATTTCACCTACAAATGAAGCCAGGGAAAGAAAACTGCGAGGAAATGGCCACTGTGATGTAAAATAACAAAGAAAAGAAGAAAAAGCTAACCCAACCCGACTAGGCCCTACTCAAATCGGTTCGTGTCGGGTCGGTTTCACTCACAGAATCGGATTAGGTTGGGTTTGGACCAAAAATCAACCCAACCCTGGCCGTTGCCCATCCCTAAAGATAACCTCCTTCGGAACCTTTTCTACAGGAAGCAAAAATAAAAATTAAAAGTGTCACACCTCCATTCACATGGGTAACCATACATAATCATACATTAACCTGTGTGTTCGACCTAAATATAGAATTTCACATATACTCTTTTTTTTTTTTGCACTTGATAAAATGAAACAAGTATTTTCCCAATTATGTCCCTGTTCGCTAACTCCTAATCACCTGTGACGATCATATAGTATATCGAAATCAAAGATCATATAATCATAATCCAACACATATGTTCTAAGGTTATAAACATATCTATAAACCATTTCAAAAGGTATACAATACAAGATCCTCGAAATATAACACAATAGACAGTAAGCTCAAAACAACAACCCACAAAATAACCCTACAGGTTGTCATTCATGTACATCAAACTCTAGAATCCCGTAAGGACTTCATAGCTAGCTATGATCTCTACGTAGTTCCATGCTCATCTATAATGCAAGAGCTACATAACCTAATGCTTAGTAGGCAAAAATCATGCATGTCATGAGTATGAGTAATAATGATATATGACACCATGTCATTCATTTTAAATATTATGCTAAAGATGCATCATATTCCAATATTCATCAAAGTCAACTCTTAATCATTTCATTTGAAATCCTTCATTTCATTGGGCCATTGACTTTCCTACTATGCATTGGATAGAGCTCTTTATAATATCATTATCAATAATCAATAATCAAATGACCAATATGAAATCGACACCGACGAGTGGACCATCCTTTCAATCCACTAGAGGCCCGTCCCCTAACTACCTCTATGATCGCCCAAGAAGTATCCCATCCGATAGCACCAATAATCATAATATCACAAGGCAGTTTTCATTATGACAACTTTTCGATTTTCCATTGTATTAGTATGCCACCAACAGAATTCTTGGCCATTAAAATCATTTCTATACTTCATGCTTGCATGTAAAAACATTCATAATGATAGATATAAGTTATACTCTAAGAATCATCCAAAATCAAGGGTTGAATAGGTAGAATCCAGTAACTATGCAATTTCGATCCTTACTTATTTTACTCAATATATCTCCAACAATTGTCACTCTTTTTGCCATAATAACGTCCCAAACACTAACCTCAACATAATATCAAGTAATTCTAGAGGCTAAAGAGATTATAATACCCTCAAAGACAATGAAAACAACCTTCAAAACCGTGAGCTAAACTTACCTATCCAAAAATTCTGTTTCAGATCCTTTTTCCTGCTTCTCTCTGTACTTTTTTACTTTCTCTTTCAATTGGTGGTCAATTGGGGATAACTTGGAAGGCTAAACATGTTTTTAGGAGGTGTATATAGAGTCTTAAAGGGGTTGGGGGCGTGACTCTTCCTTAAGGATTAAGAAAATGTGATTAAAGGACAAGTGGATTCAAGCATGAAGTGTCCAAGCAGGATGTGGCTTCATGCAGCCAAATTTGATATTTTCCCTACCTTATATGGAGTCGTATGTGACTTTGAAGATGCATATCTATCCTATATAAAGTTCTAAGGTTTAAAAGCTGTGCTGGAGGCCTTAAGGTTGAAGGAATTAGATGTTAGAGTGACAAGTCGACACATGTTAAATATGAGGTGTCTCCTTTTAAATACATTCTGATTTTGTACCTAACTTTCGATGATTTGCATGAAACTTAGGGACAATACACCACATATAGGAAGTCTTAAAGGAGTGGTAGATGTGGATAAAGCTGAAGGGTGAAGGAATTGATCATTACAAGAACAAATCAATAGGCATGAGGTGTACTAAGCAAGAGGTGGTCTCTCGTGGTTAAAATCTGATTTTGTTTCAATCCTTCCAGGTATCCTTGGTTTATTTTGATGCCTTTAAAATCCAGTTTACTTGCCCCAATATCCCAAAATATATTATAGACCTAATTCCTTAACAGTTCATTTAATTACTCACCCGATTGAAACCCGACTCTCGATCAACTTCGACAATTTTCACCTCAACATTTATAACGTCACATGGACCTTATAGTATTGTATTTTGACCATGTTAAAGACTTAGTTAGGGTTTAAAACAACCATGATTAACCGAATTAAAAGCGAGAAATTTTACCCATAATGATTCCGAAACTTTCAAGATCACCATCTTTAACACATCAAAATCCAATATCTAGACTAACATAATTTTCTATCATAGCTCATTGTAAGATTCTCCACCTAGTTCATGGAGTCGAATACTAACACCATATAAAGATCTTTAAAACCTCAATAATTTGAATGCACAGTTTTTAACGACAACAATTACGATAATTGATGCAGATGGCATTGTAAATAACATGAAATGCATGAATCATATTGACCAAATTTGTAATGTAAAGTTCATGGTTTACATTCTCCTCTCCTTATAAAAATTTCGTACTCGAAATTTACTTACCCAAAAACTTCAGAATATTTGGAGTAGATGCACTGACATGAAGAGAGCTCCAGTGTCCTCTTGTTCCAATGTTCCTGAACTTGTAATTCTATCTTTATTCAACAATCGATATCTAGATTACATTCTTTTGAAAATGCTCCGGCAAAATATTATTAAGATAATAACAATTTGTGAGACAAGACGAGGAAAAAGAGAAAAAAAATTTCTACAAGTTAAAATAAATAAATACAATACTCCTATCTTATTCTCTTATTCAATATAAGAATAAAGAAAAATCCTTCAAAAAAAAAAAGGAAAAAGAATAAAAATAATTTATAATCCAACTAGAAAATAAAAGGATAATACTAGATATACAAATTTTGGGTTTTTAATAGGGGAGGTTTATTTATTTTTGAAAAATAGAAAAGATCAATATAATAGTCTGATACTTTAGAATTATAGTTTTTGAATTTTAGAGTTGGAAATCCAAAAATTAAATTTTAGAACTTGTCATTACACAGTGACTGCGAGTATTTGTGTATATGCTCAAATCGTTCTCTTACAATATGTGCCTATCTTTCCCTCTTCCATATTACTACTGCATCCACCAAGATTCGAACTGAAGATATCTACTTTATGAAAGACCTAAATTGGATTCTAGTACCAATTAAACACTTGCCAAGTTGATTATTCAAAATGACGATTGAATTCCTTAATCCTAACTAAAATAAAAGAGCCAATTTTTGAGTTACTATTTCTATGGAGTCATGCTAGGAACAGGTTGCCAATTTTTTTTCTTTTTATTTTTTCACTCTTGCTACCAATAATTTTTTTTTGTGTCTTTATTCTTTCCCTCTTTATTTCTTTTCACAATTGTTGCCATTTGTTTGACTTGTTATTTGTTCTTAATATTTGCGTCTAAAAAAGAAACTCTTGCGTGTTAAGACTCATTTTTTCTTCTCAGCCACATGTTTGTCTTTGTTTTTTAGGCAGGCAACTTGTTATCTTTCATTTACCAATATCTCTTTGATTCCTTAATATTTCTTAAACGTGAGAACATAAAAAAAAATAAAAAAAATCATCTTAATAAATTTGAATCTCCCGAAGATTTAGTAATATATAACGGCAAGTTTGTCCATTTTCTACGTTAATTCGAATAACAATGTCACCTAGAAGCACAAATTAATTTATAAAACAGCAGAATTCATTGGGTTATTGTCCCTTGAAAGTATTGATTGAGCCAGACGATAACAACTACTACTTTTGCCTGAAATTAAAACAGTATACATAATTCCCTAGCTACGATAATTAAATTAGAACTATTCTGCTAGTGGATTCATGCAATTATCTTCTCCAAAAATACCATTTATTCTGTGCTAAAACTTATTCTCTACATACAATTCTTCTGTGAAACCCAAGAAGACGACAAGTAACAGAAATGCATAACTCTGAAATAAAAACTAAATTACAAGAATTATCATCTCCAATCCAATGAAAACCATATTATCTATTTTGTACTAAAAAACTTATTATGAACATACCCAAGAAGAAAAACAACTGACTATACTGCATAACTACAAAATAAGGTCGTTTTCCCCTTCAGGCAAGCTTGACAAGAGCAAACAGCAATTCTTCATCGACTCGAACAGCCCAAAGTTGCATGACATCTCCAATCTTGAGTTTATTATTCTCACGAATTTCGCCCCAAGTTTTATTCAACACGTACGACGAACTTGAACGTCCAGAATATTTCTTCAAGTCCCATCTTCTCAACTCCACCCTTCCTTCTCCAAGCAATGGCTCGATTATCTTCACTTTCATATCCATTTTTCGTCTCTTACTCACGTACTTTGACAGATTTGTCTTCTCTTCATAGCTCAGGAACTCCTCTCTAATCTGATTTGCCGGAATGGTGAAGCGGTTTTGATCCTGAGCCATATCACTGGCGAATAATTGCTTCTGTATTCCCAACTTTATTTCCGAGACACTTCTACCTTGTGCTAGGGTTTTAATTGCATTTTTGAATTGTATGGGTAATGGAGGCGCTGGCTCTTCCGTTAGATTAATTCGTCTTTTCTTGTTGTTTCTTGATGAAGATCCTTCTCCACTTCTGCCATTGCTTTTTGCCTTCCTCTTGCTTGATTTTCTCTTTCTTTTTCTCTCAGTACTGAATTCAGAGGACATAATTATTGAGTCGTTCTCCATTAATGGGTCTTCAACAACGGGTTTCTTGAGAGATTTTTCTCTTACAGAATTTTCTTTCAATTTCTTAGACGCATCATCATCATCATCTTCTTCTTCTTCTTCTTCTTCTTCTTCTCCAACATCTTCGACCCGCTCCCGATTGTTTTCAATATTCTTAATCTGCAACTTTCCAATGTTCATATTAGGGATTTTGATCTTCATGCTTTCTGTTGCGTGTTGTCACACCTGTCCTACCCACCTGGGCCAGTGGCCCACTCATCCTGATACACGTGACATTCCTGCCGAGGTGGCCCACATTGCCGAGGTGGGTTATATCCGAACTGCTTCTAACCGAGGCCCATGGCCCGAGGCGTGGAAGCTTTTGGTTGTAGCTGATGTCCTCGAATGGACGAAGCCCCGAAGTTGATACGCGAGCCTCAACCACAAAGAAACATCCTCCATGGTCACTTCTCCCAAGAGATTGCCTGCACAGATCTTATTCGAATGATTGATGGAATGTTTGTCATAAGCATAAAGGTCAAATCTTGTCACTAGCATGGAGGCCCTGCACAAGCAATAAATGCGCCTAAACTAGCAAGTCAAATCTCATGCCTAAGAACAGACATTTAAACTGAGGAGATGAGGCCACGTGCCACTTCATCCAAGGGCCCTTATTCCATATGTATCACTATAAATACCCCCATTGTATAATGTCAAAACGCTAATGCAAGAATCAATAAAAAAAGACTACATTTACTCAACTCTCTCAGTTACTTACAATACATAAATCGAATTTATACACTTTTACACATACATTTACAAGCACCGGTTGGTAATTATTGTACAACCGGATTACGCATAACCCGTCGGATTCCGAATTTCACCGTCCCGCGTCGTTGGGCTACTCCCACGCCCCCTTTGAACCGCTCGTTTAGACTGTCCACGTGTCTTAGCATGTTGGACTTTCGTCCACGCAAACGCGGGTGGGACCGGCATCTGTTGGCGCACTTTTTGGGGTCAACACTTTCTTCATCAACATCACACATCCCTGCCTCGCGCATTAATATAGGAATTAGGATTTTTGATAAAAACTCGGACATGATCTTGCTCCGTAATTATCGGGGGAAAAAGCAGTGAAAACTCAATTCAATCTGATTTTTGTTGCAAAGAATGTATGTAGAGATTAACAAGGTTTTTTCAGTATTATGAAACATTAAGTGAGGCTTTAAATTTAGAGAGAGAGAGAGAGTTTATGGAGATCATCGACCCGTGTGAAGCGTCTCAATTAGTCAACAAAATCCGCTTTGTTGACATATCCATTATCCCCTTTGTAAAAATATACAATACTGGGAGGATGCCCCACTTCAGCAACTTGCAAGATACTGGGAGGATGCTGACGTGGATACTGGGAGGATGCCCACGTCAGCAACAACGAAATAATAAAAAATAGTTGAACAGTGATGACGTGAGATACAAATAGAGGAATGACGTGATTAAGAAAATTGGAGATTATATATAATTTTTTTGCCGACGTCTATAGAAAAAATTTATGGCTCATCGATAAGAAAAACCAGTGTTATACGACTAAAGAAACAATATTTTTACAAAATTGAGTTTAACTAAGAATAAAAATATTTAGAAAACAAACAACGTGCACATTCGAGAGTTGGTCAAGTTTAGCACTTATTGAAGATAAATTGGAAATAATAATAATTAAGATTGTTTAGCGTTTGTATGAAAAAGCTACAATGAGTTTTTGAGATTTAAAAGTTGCATTTGGATTCATTTAACTGATTTTATAAAAGCGTTTCACCTATTTAGAAGAGCTTTTAGAGAAAACTGGTCAAATGTAACTTCCTTTAAAAGTACTTTCAAAATAAAAAGTTATTTAAAAATTAGTTTTCAAACAAAAATAAAGGGAATTTCCTCTAAAACCTTTTCTATAGGGAGCAAAAATAAAAGGAAAAGTCACACCATACGGGCCCTTAAATACATTCAAAGAAGAAAATAATACATATTGGTCAAGAATCTTATAGACAAGTCCTACATGTATAAAAGAGGCAAAGAATAGCCGGACGCATATCAGAAGTAGCTACAGTCAACCTCCATTTTTTTTTAACTCTATTTCAAAAATCATGAGAGGTGATAGGGCATGACATAGTCCTGTTCAGTTCGATTATAAAGAGAATCGAACCGGACTCGAAATGTTCAAGTACTTAGTAAGTGGAATCGTCTGGTTCAAATTTAATTATGGAACCATTCATGTTCGATTCCATTGGGTTCAATTTGGTTTTATTCGGTTCTCAAGTTCAGTATTATAATTATTTTTTTAATATTTACAAAGTTACATTAATTCAACATATGATATGTTTAACCTTAGCTTGTACAATATAACGTGGTTCAATCTTATGTGTCTTTGCGTCTCTCTTGTTGAATTTTTCATAAATTTGATTGTTAAAATAACAGGAAAATGAAGATAATGATCTCAAAAATAATTAAGATATATGCTGTCAAGTTTCAATTCGATTTCTCTAGAACGGCAGAAAAAACACTTTAGTAGAGTAACATATTTGAATGAAATTTAAGTCAATTTGATTAAACTGACTTTGAACTGAAAACTAGAAATAGAAAAATAATATTTTTGGGTTTGAGCTAAATTAACTAGTTAACAAATTTATTTAAAAAAATAAAATAATTTGACTTATTTAAAATAAATTAATTAAAAAATTAGAGTGATTAGGTTCTTATTCGGTTCTTCGATTTTTGATCTAGAATTGAACCAAATTCGTCGATTTTCGATTCAAATACTCATTCGAATATTTAATTTAAGAAGAATCGTTCGATTCGGTTCGATTCGATTCGATTCGATTCAGCTAGCACAAAGAGGTGAGACCATTCTTTAGATACTCATTTTTCCCCTATCTCCATTCTTCCACGCAATCAGCCACTCATTCTCTCCCATTGAATCAATGAAGCCAGAAATTAATCCAGGTGGAGGGGAATGAAGTAATTTTTACTGTATAAAAATAAGCCTCTCGGTGCCAATATCTTCACCGTCTATGTCGTTATCTTTGCCTCCACCGCCACTGCCGTCCTCCTTCTCCGTACCCTTTGGTACCATCACGACCAGCTCCCCGCTGCCATAAGCTGCAGTAGCTAGCTCTGGCCGCGTACATTTATTGGAGTCGAAACCGCCATAGATCGAGCTCCATCTCACTTCTCAACAAGTCAACGATACCATTTCCTCGAATTACATTCTTAGTCACTTCATGGTAGATCTCAATTGCATCGACAGTGACGTCGTCTATGATGATGTCATCATTATCTTCATTGATTCGAAATAATCTCCAGGAAGTGAAACATATATCTAAAAGTATAATTATCATGCTGCAATTTCTTCTTTTTGTATAGATTTTCCTCCCTTTTTGTAGCTGTAGTGCAAGAACTGAAAACAGTTGGCAGCAGGTTATTATTTGCTTCAGAGAGGATAGCGTAGCTACCGTCTATGACTGTGTTCGACCCATCGAGATGCAAGCAGTGATTTTGTGAGGTGTTCTAGTGATGAAAAGGATCGCCAACCCTACTTCTTCAAATACTTTGGATATAATCTTCATTTAGGTTTTTGAATGCAATTTAAAGATTACTGATTTTATTTTTTAGTGAAAATAGCTTCTGGTTGATTTTATTTTAATGAAATATTTCGTAAGCTGGTTATTTTAATTAAAAAATTGATAGGGGCAGAGATTAGGCAATTGGCATTTTTAGGGGCTTTAGGGATTACCTTTGGCGTCTTTTCCATTTGTGGTATACTAACTTTCATTGATATTAAAAAGTAATTTTATTGAGATTGGATTGAGCTTTTAATTGATGTTTCTTTTAATACATTGCCCATTAATATATTAGTTTTTTTTTTTTTTTTCCAAGCAGAAATAGAAAAGGGAAGCTTATTGAGTTCATTTAAGCTGTAACTTAGTTGCTCAATAGCTCAGTTGACTCTTTGATAAAATTACATCTCTAAATGTAGTGCTTAATTTTTAAGATCAGCGGGAAAACCTAAGTGTATCCTTGGTATAAGTAGATGCGTTTTCTGGCACATAGAAAAGAATAGAGATGTAAGGAATGCTAATTTAGTTGTGTAATATCAAGTGCCATCCGATAAACAACTATTTATATGAGAACAATGAATTGATTGTTGAAGTTAATCCAAAAGAGAGGTATAAGATATACCTTAATTTTTAGGGACGGAGCTGCATTAATGCCCTGATATTTATAGAATACAAAAGTAGTTTTCCTCGTATTTCTCCATTGCTACTAATTAATTTTGTTTCAAAATTGTACATTTAGAAATTTGGTTTCTATATTTTTATCTATGCACCTAAAATATTTCATCGCTTCCAAAGCTCACATACTCTAATATCTTGGAGAGAGAGAGCTATGCTTGAGAGTCGTTTTATTAGGAAAGTGATGATAATGTCCAGAGTAAAATTGCAATTTATTAGTGAACCATGGTTCAAGTCAATATCGAATTAGGTGCTCCAAATTTGTCTATTTGTTAGTTTCCAATGTTACATTAAAATGTGCATAGTTTTGTTTATTTATAATTCCAAGCCGCGTGTTAGAAGCACCCTCTCTCTTAATTATTGGCATGACGCATAAAGTGAGAGTGCCCAAGGTGGTAGTGGAGCCAGTGGAAGTTGAAGAAGGTCAATATCCTCATCGGAACACAGACTGTTATCACAGAAGGCTTTGTCAAGGTAAAAACTTCATTATGATTGTTTTAGAAATTTTTTCTCTTTTTTTTTCTTTTTTTTCCCCTTCACATGTATTTTTTTTCTTTGCATAGGAAATTGATCAGGAAGGTAAATCTAGATATGACAAGGCTATAATTAAAGTAATTGATTTTGTGAGTTTTTTTTTTTTGTCCATTTTGATGTTTCTTTTTGTGTTCTTATGTTGTTTCTATTCTACTAATTAAAGCTTTGATCATGATGTTGTGCTCACTTGATTGAATCTTTTTATTTGTTGTTAGGATGATTATGTAGGAGATGATGATGAGTCAAGTTAAAGAAAGAAAGTTTAGCATTCTTCTTATTAGTCACATAGGTTTCATGTAGCATTGTTCTTAGTTGCATAAAAATACTTCTTATATTTATGGGTGAAACAAATTATATGTGCATAATCTGTGAAATCAGTAATCAATGAATTGTTTGTATTCATTTTCTCATTGATTTCCATTGATTTGGTTGGTGGTTTCAGATATCGAGATGGCAAGCCTACGAACAATGCAGCAAGGTTCTACAAGTGGTTTGTATTGGTAAAGTAAAATTGTAGAGGGTTACATTCTCCATAGGACTCTGCATTAGATTTAGGTTAATTTTTATATGCAATGCAGGGAGAAGAGAGAGGTGAGTGGATTAAGAATCTTAATTATGGAGTATTTGACCTTGGAAACATAAATTATGAGTATTATAACAAGGTCTAAGATTGATAGTTAGAAGATATAAATAAAGTCCAGTTCTACATTAGCTCAGATCTCTACATCTCAAATTTTATTGTTCAGTAAATCTTATTGGTAATAATTAGTTGATTTTTTTTCTTTTGTTTTGGTTGTTCGAGGTTTTAAGAGATCATTCCCAAAATACTACAATGTTTGACATCCTTCGGAGTTTGTTGAGTTCAGGTCTGTTGCTTTCATATTCTTCTTTTTTATTTTTTTCCCATTTTGTTCCCTTTTTTCGAATGATTTGGGGGTTTGTATGCTTGTAGATTAAATTTTGAATTTCACCATATTCAATGTACTTTTCTGTTTTGTAAATTTCCTACATATAGTGGTAAAATATACAAGTTATGAAGATATAAAATACTCTATTAATTAATAAATATTCATTTATTGATAAATTAATAATCCCTCTAGAATAATAATTTTTCCTCTAAAACAATAATTTTCCTCAGTTCCAACATTATTATTTTCTAGAGGTTTTACTGTACTACCTTATGACGTTCCTCTGTGTATTGGACATTTTCTACATTATTTTTTTTTCCATTCTCGTGTAACAATATTGCATGTTGGGGACTGAGATTTAATCATAGTCAGTATTTTGTGTTGGATTCTTTTCTTTGGAACTATATGTCATTTGTGGCTCATGAGGTCAAATTGATAGGAAAATGCTCAATCCATTCAAGATTGAAAAAAAAAATTGATTAGTTTATATTGCCATATATCCTCTATAATGATTAAATCTGATTCATTTGCTTGTTATAAATATTGGTCCATCCTAATATTTTGCAATAGCATCACTGTATATGATGGAAATGAAAGTCTGGAATTAAAGCTAAATTTGATATAGATATTTTCTTTTGCTATTACATTCGTGAAGTGTTGAGGGAAGACAAATGAAATAGAAAAATAAAGAAATCTATCGTAACAGGTTCAAAGAGTTTTTTACTTCTATATTCAGCACATCATTTCTTACGAACAATGGCATTCTACAAATTTCTAAAGTGAAATTTTTCTAAAGTGATCATGAGCTCACTTTAGCAAGTTCTTTCCCATTTATTTTGTTGGAGTTGCTGGATCTGTGATTGGAAATATTAAATTTAGTACAATGGTGTCATAATATTTGGAAGAAGGGTTATTCAATTCATGCAATTTTTCTCTCTTTTCGTTTTATTTGTTTATTCTCTTTCTTAATCTTGTGCATGTGTTTGATGCATGGAATCAGTAGTGAGAAATTAAATATAGTGAATGCTATATGTTCATATCACGAATAAAAAAATATAGAAACAAAGGAGATGGAAAAAAATTTCACATTTAGAGATGAAGACTGGATGTGTTTGGGCTCTGTGCATGAATTTTGTTGTGTGGATTACATAGACCGGTGAGACGAAGACTATGTGAAAGTCTTAAATTGGGAGTTGATTTTAGAGACCAAATGTCTAGAAAAATAATAAAGGGCATAAATCTAAGTTATGAAGACAGGACAACTTTTTCCATGCCTTTATGATTCGAGCAAGTAAGCTTGTAATGATGCTTTGAAATCTTGTGCCCTAAAGCCAACTGATTTGGGAGTCACTGGCCTAAAGTTCGTTACAAGGGTTATATAGAAAGCAAGAGGAGAAGATGTTAATAAAAAGTAATTTGATCAAGCCTTTATAATTCGAGTGAATAAGCCTGCAAGGGTGTAAAGCCTGGTGCCTTAAGCCCAATTGGTCTGAAAGTCACGAGCTAAAAGCTCGTTATAGGAGTTATATAGAAAGCAAATGAGAAGATGGCACAAAAAAATTTCAGAAAATAATATTACTTCACTAGTTAACTTTTGAAGTTGCATAAACACGTGATTTATATTATTTCTTAAATAATATTAATTAATTCTCACTATCCTTTATATCGCCATCATCATCTCAAAATATTTATTATATTTGTTCAATTATATGAAATAATTTTCAATGGGTTCCTGGTGATCCATTTAAAACAGGTTGAACCAAGTCAAAACTAGTTGCCTAATGCAAAATAATACACACAATTTTCTAGACAAATATTTTATTTACACCTATTGGAAATTTGTTTAGAATTGAAGGAAAATTGGTTAAGTGTTCAAACCAAAAATGTAGAAAAAGTGACTTCGTGTCAATTTCGGCCAAATATTTGAACTTGATTAGATAGTCAAATTATAAATGTAATTAGACTAACTTGTTCTCCTCATCGAGTGGATCATCATAGTATATTTGGAAACTTAAAATCAATTCTAGATGAATAAAAAATTGCGATCCAAAATTGAAAGAAAAAATAGAGGAAAATTGGCTTGAATTTTTTTCTAACTCCGTCACTCGCCTATCGCTCGAGTGACGGGGCTATCACTAGAGCGACAGACTAGCGACAGTTTGGTGAAAAATGTTATGTTAAATTTTGACATTGGCGCTCGAGCGAGAGGTGAGTGACGGGTGATAAATGTGTTTATGCACCCTTATTTAGTTCACAAATATAACTTAAATACGAGCAAAATGTTTGAATTGTAGCTTAATTTCGTTTAATTCGATTATTGTGGGTTATATTGATGTATATGGTGGAATTCACGAGAAAAAGAAGGGAAAAATGACCAAAATGAAGAAAATCGTAAGATCAAGGACCAAAGTGCAATTACTCAATAGATGACCCGAAGGAAGAATCGAGAAATTGAATGAGTTAAGTATCAATTGAGAATCATTATGAGATGATGGAACAAGATGAACAAAGAAAGGAAGCCAATAAACAAGAAAATAGAGTTTGGGGACCAAAATGACAGAAATTGGAAGACTTCTACCATGCGGTCGCATGGTAGAACCTTCTTGCAGTTGCACAAGATGGTCCAGGGAGTTCCAAAACTAGAACCAGGTGTACCATGCGGTCGCATGGTAGGAATTTTTGACGCGATTCTTCAGTTTCCTTTTTTGTTAAAACTCGTTTGAAACTCGATTGGGGTGCGACATAAAAACCTTGACTCCCTAGATTTCGAGGGAGAACGCATTAGGAGGCAACAAAACACATATTGGAGAAGATTTTAATGAAGATCATTGAGATTTCACGCGAATTCATAACCCGGTGATGTTTCATCTTTAAGAAATCATATATTCTGTTATTTTCTCCTTGTTAGGCTAAATATTTTTGTATTGGGAGATCGATAAACCATGTGATGTGATCTTTGGATTTCTAGTTTTGCAATTCGACATTAAAACACATATTTGATTATTTGAATGATTTATATGCATTAATTGACTTCCATAATTAAGTGCACATAATTATGTAATATGTGGCGATTTATTTCTTGCATTCGAGAGAAGAGAAATAAGTTTGACAAGGTATAAATCTTCTTAATGTCCAATAGCGAATAGAGATGTACCCCTATGCTTTGCGTGAATAGTTAAGTGCTCATAAAACCACATGCATTCTTATATATATTCATCCATCATAGAGATATAAGCTGGTGGTATATGATAATAGGTTCAATATTGCTCGAGAGAGAGTGCTGGATAGATTTAGGAGCATTGATTTTTCAATAATTCAATCATGTTGTCATATTGTAAAACTAGGGGTTTAAGGTGATCGATGCATGGGAATTCGTGATCCTAGTGCATTTAATTATCATTGAATAAAGTCAACTTGCGTTCCAACAATCATATTGCATTCCAAGTCATTTAAATATATCATTTTGCGTTAAAATTCATTCAAATAACACTTTAGCAAAATTAGGGTTTTTCTAAATTAGGATTTCATAGGTTAAAAATTCGTTTTTGATAATCCCATTTCTGTTAAGGCTACGGTATATAAAATTGAACTACTCAATCTCTGTAGGATGATATTCAAACTCAAAATTTTCACTTTGTTACTTGTTACTAACCGTACACTTACGGTGTTTTAAATCGAAAGAATAACTTCGTGAACATGTTTTTGGTGTCGTTGTCGGGGATTGAGTATTCGTTTAATTATATTTACATTGGCACTAATTCGAACATTAATATTTGTATATTTTTTATTTTATTTTATTTTACTTTAATTTTATTTTGTTTAGTTATTTGCTTCATTATAGTGTCTAAACACTTCAATTGATTTTTCTCTCAGATTTGCTTGTTAAGGTCTACTGAAGGAGACCTAATCCCAGTCGATCCAGAAATAGAACGAACTTTACATCGAATGCAGCGAGAAAATAGAGAAGCACAACAACCGATGGCTAGTGTTCAGAACAATCCCATTTTTCAAGCCAATGAAGAAGGGGCAGCGAATGGAGGTAATATGCTTGTAGTAGACTTCATTACCCCTCAGATAATTTAGAGCTCGTCGAGAATCGTGTATCCACCGTTTGGGTAGCCTAACTTCCAATTGAAGACCAACGTGATACAAGTGTTGCAAAACGGACATCAATTCTACGAAAGAACTGAAGAGAATCCACATACACACGTTTCTCGCTTTTTGGAGATGTGCCAACACTTCAGATATCAAGGAGTCCCAAACAATGCAATCAAATTAAGGTTGTTCCCACATACACTGTGCAATAAGGTAATCGAATGTCTAGATTTGCAACCAATCGCTAGTATAATTGTATGAAATGATCTAACTCAGAAATTCTACGTCAAGTTCTTCCTACCCGCCAAGATTGTAAAGCTCGAGCATGATCTATCTGTTTTCCATCAAGGCGATTCAGAGAATTTTGATGAAGCCTGGAATAGGTTCAAAAATATGCTGTGAAAATGTCCACATCATGGGATTAGCAAGGAACTCCAGGTCTGATACTTCTACGAGGGATTATTTCCATCCTTCAAGAGCACAGTTGACTCATCATCTAATGGATCACTGTCCACAAAGACAATTGATGAAGCATTAAAACTATTTGAGGCTGAGGCTATGGCTACTAAATCGGCTATGTGGACATCGGAACAAGCAGTTCAGAAGAGGACGCCGAGAGTTTATTAAGTGGATGTTTGTTCTGCCTTTTCTGCCAAAATTGACTTATTATTTCATAAAGTGGAAAACATGTCACAATCAGCTATCACAGCACTGTTGAAGAAGGCCAGCTGTGAGGAATGTGGAGCCAAACATGTAACAACAGAGTGTCCAATTTTGGTACAAGGAATAGAGAAGACAGATTTTGCTCAATGGGGACAGCATCAACAGAGCAATTCATTTGCGAAAACATACAATACGAGTTGGAAAAAGCACCATAATTTCTCTTGGAGCAACCAAAATCAGAATAGGTCATAGGATCAATATCAGCAGCAAGAGAAAAAGCCTCAAATGAAAGAGATGTTTGGTAAATTTATGGAAAAGACCAATCAGCATGTGGAGACTAATCATCAATTCATGAGAAAAACTGAGGCCACTCTTCAAAACCAGAATGCAGCTATCAAAAATCTTGAGACTCAAATGGAATAGATGGCCATTGCTTTGATTGGCAAAGCACTAGACAGTTTGCCAAGTAACACGGAAATAAACCTTAAAGAACATGCTTAGGCAATTACAACTCGAAGTCAAAGGCAACTACCTAAGATACACATTAAAAAGCTGGGTGTAAATCAAGAAACATCTCCTGCGATAGAAGAGACTATAGAGCATAACGAGCAAATAAAGGAATCTACCCCAGCTGAAGCGCAGGCAAATCACAGGGTAAAGACACAGTAACTGTCAACTCTCATAAGCCTCCCATAATTTTTCCACAAAGGCTAAAGGAGCATAAGTTGGAGCAGCAATATAAAAGCTTCTCGATGTTTTCAAGAAGCTCCACATAAACATCCCATTCGTTAAAGCATTAGTTTAGATGCCTAGCTACGCAAAATTCCTAAAGGACATCCTATCAAATAAACATAAGCTGGAAGAATATGAGACGGTCATGCTAATTAAGAAATGTAGCCAGAATTCAGAAAAAACTTCCATCGAAATTGAAAAATTTAGGAAGTTTTACTATTCCTTGCACTATTTGTGAAGTTTATTTTGATAAAACTTTGTGTAATCTAGGTGCAAGTATTAATTTGATGACTGTATTCGTTTTCAAAAAACTTGGATTAGGAGAGGCAAAAGCTACAACAGTGACGCTGCAATTGGTTGACAAATCGTTGACACATCCAAGAGGAATAATAGATGACGTGCTCATCAAATAGAAAAAAATTATATTCTTTGTGGATTTCCTCATTCAGTATATGGAATAAGACAAAGACATCTCATTAATACTTGGCAGGCCGTTCGTGACAATAGGGAGAGCTTTAATTGATGTTCAGAATGAGCAGTTAATTTTGAGATTGAGAGAAGAACATATTTTGTTTAATGTCTTCAAGGCGATGAAACTACCTACAAAGTCAGATAATTGCTTCCAAATCGACGTTATTAACAAGGTGGTTCATGACTCATTTTTGCTAAATAATCTATCAGATGCTTACAAAGCTTGCATCGCACACTCTCAGTCAACACATTTCGATTCAGTGGAGATGTAAACATGTGCAAGGTTTTTGGATACCGACCTACCTTATACATGTAGAAGGCATTTTGAGGAGTTCGGGACATGACCTATAAAGCTACTACCATCCATTCAACAGCCACCAAAATTAGAACTCAAGCAGCTACCGCCACATCTCAGATATGCATACTTGGAAGAGTATTGTACACTCCCAGTCATCATCTCAAACACAGTCAATGAAATGGAAGAGGAGAAACTGTTTAGGGTACTTAGGGATAAATAAAACAGCAATTGGATGGACTATAATAGATATCAAAGGGATAAACCTTTCAATATGTATGCATAACATTCTCATGGAGGAGAATTTTAGGCCAACCATAGAGAGTTATAGGAGGTTGAACCCAAATATGAAGGAAGTGGTCAGAGCAGAAGTACTCAAGCTTCTAGATGTGAGAATAATATATCCGATATCAGACAGTGCTTGGACTAGCCCAGTTCAAATGGTGCCAAAGAAAGGTGGAATCAGAGTAGTACTGAACGAGAAGAATGAGCTCATACGACCAGAACAGTAATGGGATGGAGGGTTTGTATCGATTACCGTAAACTCAACGTAGCTACAAAGAAAGATCACTTTTTCCTTCCATTTATTGATCAGATGCTGGAAAGATTGATGGGCCACTCACATTACTACTTTCTCAATGGTTATTCAAGTTACAATCATATACCATTGGCACCAGATGACCAAGAGAAAACAACCTTCACTTGCCCCTATGGTACATTTCGGCCTTTGCAACGCCCCAGGCACATTTCAGAGATGCATGATGATAATTTTCTCAGACATGGTAGAGAAACTTATAGAGATATTCATGGATGATTTCTCGATTTTTGATTCTTCATTTGAAGAGTGTTTGGAACACTTGATTTGGTCTTACAAAAATGCAAGGAAATTAATTTGGTATTGAATTGGGAGAAATGCTACTTCATGGTACAGGAGAGGATTGTGCTAGGACATCGAGTATCAGAAAAGAGAATCGAAGTGGACAAAACAAAGATTCAGGTTATTGAGAAGCTACCGTCACCTACATCAGTTAAGGGTGTTCCCAATTTTCTGGGACATGCTGGATTTTATAGAAGATTCATCAAAGACTTCTCGAAAATCACAAGCTACTGTGCAACCTATTGATGAAAGATGTGCCTTTTGAGTTTAATAAGGAATGCCTAATAGCTTTCAACGCTTTGAGGGAGAAACTCACATCAGCACTAGTAATTGTAGCACCTGATTGGGAATTGCCTTTTGAACTAATATGTGATGCCAGTGATCATACCATGGGTGCAGTATTGGGACAGCGAAGGAACAAGTTCTTTCATGTGATTTATTATGCAAGCAGAACCTAAATGATGTCCAAATCAATTATGTGACCTCTGAAAAGGAGTTATTGCCTATGGTATATGCATTTGACAAGTTCAAATCATAACTTATGAGGTCTAAGGTCATAATCTACACAAATCACGTTGCACTGAAATATCTGATAACAAAGAATGATGGTAATCTGAGATTGATCCGTTGGGTACTACTGCTACAAGAATTTGATATTGAAATTCGGGACAAAAGGGCAGTGAAAATGTGGTAGTCGATCACTTATTGCAATTGGAACTTGAAGAACCAGAAGAGTCAGTGGATATCAACGAGATTTTTTCAAATGAACAGATATTCAGTGTAGAAGAAGCACTGTGGTATGCAAATATTGTCAACTATTTAGCTAAGTCCATTCTGCAACCAGATTATTCAAGTCACTAGAGGAAAAAATTCTTTGTCGATCGAATTACTATTTTTTGGAAGATCTTATTCTCTATAGGCTAGGGGCTAGTCAAATTATAAGGAGGTATATACCTGAAGATTAAGTACCCAAGATTCTTGAGTATTGTCATTCATCTGTTATGTGCGACATTTTGGAGCTTCAAAGACTACAACAAAGATTTTACAGTCAGGGTTTTATTGGCCTACATTGTTCAGAGATGCTTTTGAGTTTGTCAAGAGATGTGATAGATGTCAACGTCCTCGGAATATCTCAAGGAGAAATGAAATGCCACTTAACAATATATTGGAGGTTGAGATATTTGGCTTTTAGGGAATCGACTTTATGTGACCCTTTTCCCCATCGTTTTCCAATCAGTATATCCTGGTGGCCGTTGGCTATGTGTCTAAATGGGTGAAAGTAGTTGCATTGCCAACCAACAATGCGAAGGTGGTAATTGGATTTTTGAAAAAAATACATCTTCACGGGATATAGCACACTGTAGACGATAATCGGTGATGGGGGCAAGCACTTCTACAATCGTCAATTTGAACAGATGTTAAGTAAATATGGCGTTAAACACCGTGTACCTACCCCATATCATCCTTAGACCAGCGTACAAGTTGAAGTTTCTAATCGGCAGTTGAAGAGAATACTTGTAATTACAGTCAATTTGTCCCGAAAGAATTGATCTAAAAAGTTGGACGACGCATTATAGGCATGTAGAACAGCATTCAAGACACGATGGGCATGTCTCCATACCCCCTAGTTTTTGGGAAAATGTGCTACCTCCCATTATAGATAGAACACCATGCATATTGGGCTATGAAACAGTTGAACATGGATTTGAAGGCCGTCGGTGAAAAGCGTTTACTGCAACTTAATGAGTTAGATGAATTCAGCATGGAAGCATATGAAAACTCAAAACTTTATAAAGAACGCACCAAAAAGTGGTATGACTTACACATTCAGAGGCGAGAGTCTGAAGTGGGACTGAAAGTTCTATTATATAACTCGAAACTCATGCTCTTCCCGGGAAAATTAAGGTCAAGATGGTTGGGTCCTTACACTGTCACAAAGGTTTTGCCATATAGAGACATAGAAGTCAGCCATGAAACAAAAGGTACCTTCAGAGTCAATGAGCAAATGCTGAAACACCACTGGAGCGTTGACTTTTCCAAGAAAAAGTCTATCGTGAAACTCTGGACACCAAATTAAGGTAGACGTGGAAAAGTTGAGTTATCAACTATAAACTAATACTGGGTGAAAGGCAACCCACTATATCATTTTAATTTATTTTGTTCTTTTGCATTAGTTTAGGAATTTTTTCAATTTCACGTTTGCATTAGGTCATCGATCATCTACAGGGATAGACCCAGGCATTTTGTCTTATGGGGTCAAAAATTAAAATGTAATTTTTTAAATCAACATAATAATAATAAAAATAATTCAATACACTACTACAATTATAGTCTACACATCCTGATACTTTGAAAACGTAATATAATTATTACATTATTAATATTATCAAATGGATTTTACTACTTTTATAGCTTTGTTTACCACATCATTGACAAATGTTGAGCCGAAGGGGAGTAAATCAAGTTGAATGTAGAAAGTAAATAAATTGAAATAAAATTCAAATTCAATTTAGAAAGTAAATGAAATTCAAATTTAATTCGAAAGTAATTTAAATTACATTTAATTTATAACGATCCTAAAATTTTTTATGTCATACTCCATGTAAAATTTGCTAATAAAATGTAAATTATATTGAGAAATTTGTTGTGCAAAAATAATAAACGTTAGTGAAATAATTAAAATTTTTTAGAGGAAAGATGAGTTAGATGTATTTTTAAGAGACATACGTTTGACACACGTTTAACTATTTCAATATTTGTTTATACTGATATGACTACGATATGGTTCCCAAAATGAGCTTCTAAGTGATGTAGCCAGTTTGTAAATTTAGCTAGAGTACGATCGTCGGCAAATTTTTAAAATTAGCATATTATCGAAATTTTAAAAATACTAGTTTGGAATGTCATATTTTGACATGCCATAACTTTTGCTACGATTGGTCGTTTCACACGCCATTAATGAGTGAAAAACTATTTTTGAACACTTCAAAATGTTATTAGTAATGCAATATTTTGACTTTATTTGACATTCCGTAATGAGCGTCAAAATAAGAAGTAAAAAAAGGAAAAAATTGTGGGGTCATATGACCCCACATGACCCCATGTGGGTCTGCCTATCATCATCTATGCATGTCAAAATAGTCTAAGCACTACACACATGAAGTCCTATCCATTTAGCATGAGTTGAGATTGATTTGAGTGTTTTAGGTGATTGGGTGTGAACATTCACTCATTTCGAGGCACAACATTGTTTTTCAAAAATTTTCCAGGGTTAAGGTGTGATTTCAAATTAAAAATTAGTTTTGGCACTAAATCTATGGCCTATACCTCATCCATATAGTCTAAAAATGCATTTTTGAAAAGTATGGGAACATGTAAAGGCCGGGTAAATTCACCAATTGAAAACCAAAATTTTAGGAATCAATTGTGTTATTAAATTTTCATGTGCATAGTCATTTGTTGAAACCAAAAGCATTTAAAAAAAGGAGTGTCTATACGGTCGCAAAGACATGGTGTCCATGTGACCGCATGGACAACAACTGAAAATTTAAAGGGGGCAAGGCATGATACTATGCGGCCGCATGGTGATGTCCATGGGACCACATGGACAACAACCGAAAATTT